AATAGTGGTATGACATCTCGATTAAAAGAATAAATAACCTCATCTAATCTCTTACTACAGAACTCCTAAATTCTACCCATCTACTTAGCCCTAAATCTACTGATTTGTATTGAGTAAAATTACTCTCTCCAGTGAGAGAGAGGTTCCTTGAAGACACAGAGCCTCATCAATTTTCTCCTGGACTACTATTTCATTAGCTTTCTAACAGATATCCTTACCTCTAGCCCTGACCTCCCTCCCCTTTCCATCTTTCTCCCATCCCCACCATTCTTTCATATTCCAGCAAAAATGTTCTAGAAATTTACCAGTATTACTCTTCTGCTTAAAGTTTTCAATACCTCCCAATTTCCTAAGGCAATTCTCTCCAAAGTAGAGTTTTTGCTTACCAGAAGTGCACAAAACAAATCATTGGGATATGAAAAGAAAATATTAAAACTATTTATATTTGTTTTTGGCATCTGTCATAAACATAAGACATTAGTACAATGGTGCTTATTATAATGTATAAACAAACAAAAACTGGGGCACATCTTCAACTTTTTTTATGGATATAAGTACATAATCAAGAAAATGTGTAGACCATCTGCCTTAAAAGATTAAAATCAAAGCTTCTTTCCATGGCATACAAGATCCTTCATCACCTGGCCACCATCCACCTCTTCGGGAGTTGCCATTCCAGCTTTGCTCTTTGTATTTCAGCAGCACTAAACTGTGTATAGAGTTTCCTTTATTTACCAAGCTGTTTCATAATTTTGTGCTTTTGCTCTTGCAATCCCATTGCCTGGGAATACCCTTCGAATCCTTCAAATTCAACCTTCAAAATTCTGTTCAGGCATCAGCTTCTCTGCAGAGAATTCTTCAGTTCTGCCCCTTCATCTCTAAGCTAAATGCTTCTCTGGTTGCAGTAGCACTCAGGGCATGGTATCCCTCTGTCTTTTCACTTACCATATCGGAGTATTTATACATCTATCTCCCTCATTAAACTGGGAGTTCTTCCAGGGCAGGAACTGTGTTGTACTCATCTTTATTTTATTTTATTTTATTTTTTATTTATCTATTTTTTTTGCAGTACACAGGCCTCTCACCGCTGTGGCCTCTCCCGCCGCGGAGCACAGGCTCCGGACGCGCAGGCCCAGCGGCCATGGCTCACAGGCCTAGCATGTGGGATCTTCCTGGACCGGGACACGAACCCGCGTCCCCTGCGTCGGCAGGCAGACTCCCAACCACTGTGCCACCAGGGGAGCCCTGTACTCATCTTTATTACCCTCAAGCTTAGCCCAGGACCAAACTCCTAATAAGTTCTCAAAAATTGGTTCTGAACTGGATACTTTTTCTCTGTACTCAAAATACTTATTAACTAACTCTGTAATCTATTTCCCAGAAGCAAGGAATAACAGTAAAAGTTTTCATAGCCAGTTGTTAGCTTCTGGAGTACATCAGCCTCAATGACCCTCCTTGGTTTAGGGTTCCAACGCTGGTTCCGGCCCTCTCCTGTGCATGCGCCATATATAACTCTTCAGATGCACACATTCTTTCTTTAGATGTTAAAATATCTGTGAATGTTTTAATCAGATCTTGTTGTTCTCAAAGGCATTATGTCTCTTTAAAGTGCCTTCACATACCTTTGCCCCGATTGTGTTCATTTTAAGCTTTAACTCTCAAATGATAGACTGTGTTGATTTTAACGTTTCTCAAAGGACAATTCCCTTATTGCTAACTTATTATTCAGTCAACAAATATTTTTATGGTGCATCTACTATAGGTCAAGCCCTTGGTACTTGCTAGGAATAGCTGGCGTGAGCAACAGGCAAAATCTCTGCTCTCAAGAAGCTGACAATCTATAATAGGAATTTCCAAATTCTTGGGGTCCCTTCATGTTTTTCTCCAGATACTGATAATCCCCAGGTCCAAAATGCTATTTTAAGCCATGTAACAATAACGTTAGACAGAAAAATAGTAATTCAATGGCTCACAAGGAAAACACAGAGCATCTCTTATCAAATTGTAATCACTGCTTCCTAGCAGTGGGCTCCAGCACTGAACCCAAAGCTGAAATAAAAAATAAGGCCACTATACATAAGTCAATGGGTACCTGGGACTCTCCCAAAGATGGAGAAACTGCTAAGTGATAAACAGGAATGGGGATAATTGGAGAGCTGCTTTGTTTTGTTTAGTTTTTCAGGAATAATTTCTATAATCCATGAGCTAAAGACAACAGCAAACAATCAAGAAAGTATTTTATCAGGGAAAATGTAAGAGCTCAGATAAAAACTAAACAAATTCATGAGTAGATAAATACTGACTCAGGCTACCAACAATAGGTTTTTGCTGCTATTGTTTTGTTGTTGCTTCTTCAGATAGGTTTTACCCCCACCTTATAAAAAGAGTTAACATGTACCCTGGAAAACACAGAAAAGTATAAAGAGATAATAATTCCACTACTCAAAAAAATATATAAACATTTAGTTATATATCTTGTCTCAGACCTTCTATTACATAAAAATATTTTTTTCTTTTCACAAAATTGACACCAATTTTGAATATGAATATGCAACTGTATATCATGCTTTTTCATGCTTAACATTAGGTGCATTTCCCATGTACTTGCTCTTCTAAAATGTGAAATTTTAAGTCAGGTAACATTCCACCATGTGGACATGCCATGATCTCACCACTCCTATTGTGGGGCAGGTTGTAGCAATGTTTTGCAACACAGAATAAGTAAGTGTTGATGACTGCTCTCATTCACAACCATCTAAATATGTCCTTGAGGTAAATTCCTAAAGGGGGAATTACTAAGTCAAAGAATATGAACTTTTTAAGGATCTTGATTTATGCCAGAAAGTTCTCTGTTCAAACTCTCCAGCACAACAGGAGGGCAACCACATCACCCCTTGGCAGCACTAGATATTTTTACTTTGATTTTCATCAATATGATAGGTTAAAAAGGATTTCTCATCTTAATCTGCAGCTCTTCGGTTAGTAACGAGAATGAACATTTTTTTTTAATGTTTTATAAATCATTTTAAATTTCTTATGATACTCTGCTTATGTCTCATTCATTTTTGCTATTAGGACACTGTGTTTTTTAAAAAACTGATGTAAAAGAGCTCTGATAAATTAAAATACATTAAAAAATCTGTCTGTCATGTATTGCTTGCATGTTCCCTCAGTTTGAACACATATGGCTCTTGGTTCTTCCACAATAAAAGCTCCAAACTTTTCCAAAATGGAACTGGTACAATCTAATTCCCATGAGAACCACTCCTACCAATACCACCTTTGCACCTTTATACTCAATCTGTTCCTTAGGGTGCTGTTTTGAAGCACCAGGCTCAAGGGATACTAAAGAATAGCCCAGTGAGACCACAGTGCCATGTTTAACCAACTAGCTTGGCAAATACAGAAACACTCAGCAATGCTTCTTCCTCCCCTATACTCAGAATCCCTCAAATAACAAGCTCATCCTCGTTCAGGGCAAAAAAACTGTCTTTGGTCCTCCAAAAGATCACCTGTGGTTGGAAGGCAGCATAGCAGAAGAAAAAAAGCATGAGCTCTAGAGTAGAAAAAGCTGCGTTTAGATTCCTGGCTCTGTCATGTTCTTGCTGTATGACCTTGGTCGAGTCATTTTGCCTCCCTGGGCCTCAATTTCCTAACTACAAAATAAAACTATCTGTTTTCAGGTTATCATAAGGATTAAATGGAACATGTAATGTTTACAACCAGGGGTCTGGTAATGTGGTAGGTGAACTTCAAAAAGTGTGGTTTTCCTACTCTGATGGTGCTAAATCAGTTACTTATTTAATTCAAATGATCTTACATAAAATGTTGGCTTGAGATAGTTAGCTGTCCCAGCAAAGCATCATCTGGGTAAAAAACATTTAGGTCAGCTTTCTGTCAACTGCAATTTCCACTGCTATAATTATGCAATCATCAACCACCACCGCAAAACAACAAAAACCCCAAAGCTGATGTTACTGAAATTGTTAAATACAGTAATTACTTGATTCTCAAGATCATGGCCACCAACTCCTTTTGGAAAGCAACAGAAACTTTTCTAATTATGGGGGCAAAAGATGGATTAGTTGTCCCAGACAGTGGTCTCTACAACAGAAGTCTTTTGGTCACTGCCCAGAACAGCAACATACTGAGAAGTCATTCTCAAATTGCTGTTTCCTCACATTTCATGCTCTGAAAGGTACAATGTCAACAAAAGAACGAAAAGGAAAAAAAAGACAGAAAAAAAGGATATTCTTTGAGATTTAGCCTTTTTGGCACTTTTTCCTGGCAAGAGGTAATAGACTGGTGAAATAATCCCTAGGAGGAAAGCATACTTTATAAAATCTATCAGCATAACCCCATTCTACGGAAAAAGCAAGGAACACATTCTCCCTCTAAGTATAGAGTGTAGATTCCTTCAGGAAAGGAAAGAAAGCCAAGTATCACTAATGTTCAGAGAATTGTACTACACGCTTTAATTATATTATGTTTTAAATCAAGTTATGAGGTAGATCTTATGCTTCCTTACAGACAATAGGTAACTTGCTCAATGTTTTATAGTTATTAAGTGGAAAGAAACATCCAGGTCCTTCTAACTTTGAAACCTTTTTCTTTTCATTACATCTTCATCAAATCTCAAAATGATCATGCCAATTCTCCTTTATGAGAAATAACCCAGGGACTTCCCTGGCGGTCCAGTGGTTAAGACTGCATGCTTCCACTGCACGGGGCACGGGTTCAATTCCTGGTGGGGGAACTAAGGATCCCACATGCCGAGTGGCAGTGGCCAAAAAAAAAAAGAGAGAAAGAACCCAATTTATATTTTGGTTTAAAACAAAACAGACAAATAAACCCAACAAACTAAGTGTCCACCTAAAGGATGACCACTTCTGTCAATTAGCAGGTTGCTTTTCTGGCTCCTACTAGTCTTTAAAAGGAACTGAAAGACTCACACCGAGTACGCTTTTTTAAAAATCTTAAATATATAAAGAAAATGGTACCTGTTGACAGCCACAGAGCACTGAAGCAGAAGCAAATATAAAACAGGTACAAGCTTCTCAACCACTTCACAGATGTCTGCCAACAAAATCCTGATAAAATCCAAGAAGCACGGCTTGGCTTGATTCCCAGCTTCTCCATGGCCTTCCAGACAGGCAGAACCAGTCCACTAGAAAGACAGAAAAAGAAGAAATTATATGCCAAGTAATTAATAATTGATTCCTCGAAATGCAGAGTGCTAGAGAGTGTGACAGATTAGGGAGAAGGGAGTTTTCAAGTTTGTCTTTCACTGCTCATACCTGCCTATAAACTTCAAAGCTGAGCTTTGGCATAGCCTAAAATGATCAGGATAAAAACATAGCCAGGGATATGAAATGAATCCACTGTAAAACTGAAACACTTTATATTCCATATTTTCTAATCTAACATCATCTATGTGGAACAATGGAAAGCGTACCAGACTGAAAAAAAAGATCTGAACTTCAGTTCCAGTTCTGCTACTAACAGCTTTGTGACTTTATACAAATACTCTTTCTTTTTTTTTTTTTTGCGGTACGCGGGCCTCTCACTGTTGTGGCCTCTCCCGTTGTGGAGCACAGGCTCCAGACGCGCAGGCTCAGCGGCCATGGCTCACGGGCCTAGCCACTCTGCGGCATGTGGGATCTTCCCGGACCGGGACACGAACCCGTGTCCCCTGCATCGGCAGGCGGACTCTCAACCACCGTGCCACCAGGGAAGCCCAATACAAATATGCTTTCTTACCCATGAAAAGAAGAGTTTGGAGCATCAGAGGTAAACTAATCTGAAGGCTTTTCTAGCCATGTTTTTAAAAAATTTTAATGTGATTGTCTTTAGGCAGGGCATGAACTCTCCAGTTTGCTACTGTCCCCACCACTCTTACCTTTAAAATCTATCCAGTTTACACTTTGATGTCACCTCCCTGATCCTTAGAATCATTAGTAATTCCTGACTTAAATTCATATAGCCATTCAACAAGGATTTACACAGCCCCTATTTTGTACTAGGCATTGTGCTGGCTACTCCATAATCTAGAGACCGAATGATTTAGGTCCCTTCCAGAAGAAAAAATGACTTTCCATCAGTTTCTTCTCTCTTACACAACTTCCCTATATTGTATAAATTATTATATAAATCTTGGCAGTATTACGAGGATTGACTGAGTTCTGAAGAAGCAATTTAAAAATCTTCTGTCCCGGGCTTCCCTGGTGGCGCAGTGGTTGAGAATCCGCCTGCCAATGCAGGGGACACAGGTTCGAGCCCTTGTCTGGGAGGATCCCACATGCCGCGGAGCAACTGGGCCCGTGAGCCACAACTACTGAGCCTGCGCGTCTGGAGCCTGTGCTCCGCAACGAGAGGCCGCGATAGAGAGAGGCCCGCGCACCGCAATGAAGAGTGGCCCCCGCTCTCTGCACCTAGAGAAAGCCCTCACACAGAAACACAGCAAAAATAGATAAATGAGTAAATAAATTTACTTAAAAAAAAAAACTTAAGCCGCAATTTCCTCACAAATGTTTAAAAAAAAAAAAAAAATCTTCTGTCCCGGACTTCCCTGGCAGCACAGTGGTTAAGAATCCGCCTGCCAATGCAGGGGACTCGGGTTCAATCCCTGGTCCAGGAAGATCCCACATGCCGTGGAGCAACTAAGCCTGTGCGCCACAACTACTGAGCCTGTTTGCCACAACTATTGAAGCCCGTGCCTAGAGCACGTGCTCCGCAGCAAGAGAAGCCACTGCAATGAGAAGCCCACGCACTGCAATGAAGACTAGCCCCACCGCTCGCCGCAACTAGAGAAAGCCCGCATGCAGCAACGAAGACCTAAGGCAGTCAAAAATAAATAAATAAAAATAAAAATAAAAATCTTCTGTCCTAAATATGCACCTGTCATCCACATCTGGAAAATGGCACAGACTGACAACCCCAGCCCCAGCCAGCACTGTATGGGTTGGATATCAATACTGATTAATACCAGGAAATAGACAAACACACACAGAACTGCAGAACTGAGGTACAGCCCACCCAAGAAAAAGCTTTCACTGAGCCTTAAGCATCTGAAGGACTTCATCTTTCTCACTCACTTCCATCCATTCCTATTTCTAGCGGTTTGTCATTGTATGTTAGGGAGCAGGGGGCAGAAAGGAAGTGTGCAGGTCAGACACATGCTCAAAAGATTATGAAATGGAGCCTAAGTTAGAAAGTATATCCTGCAACTTTTCCAGCCTCCCAAGATGGAATGAATGAGTGTGCATGTGTGCGTGTGTGTGCGTGTGTGTGCACGTGTGTGCATATGAATCTTACCCAACATATTTCTGCCTACCACAAAAGGATTTTAAATTCAAGGTGACTCAACACCTGTCATCAATAGTGTGGCAGGTGGGCGATAGAAGCATAAAAGAAATGAATAGGTTTTGAAATGGGAGTAATAAACACCACTGGATTAGCAAGCTGATTAGAAGGGCAATGTCTCACAAACCATGCATGAGAGAGAGGCAGTTATTTTCATGTGAACTCCCAACCAGTCATTCCTCTGAAACCTACAATTGCCTAAGGGCACAAATCACTGCTAGGGTCCAGTCAAAGGTTTGCTGACCAGAGGCAGGAACAACACCACATCACCAAGATCCAAATGGCTTGTTATAGAATCAAAGGGAAACAGCCGAGGGAGAGAACACACACCTCCACAATACTTGACAAATGAAAATCTAGAAAAGCTTTCAAGAGTTCTGGCATTTAGGGCGTTACAAGTACACCCGAAATAAAAGCACTCTGTTACAGCAGCTGTTCAGACAGAGCAGGGGGTAATGTTTACTTAATGCTTCAGGTTGATGGGGGATGTATCATAGTTCAGTCTGTCAGCTACATATGTGGAACTCCATTTATGTACCCAGAGATAAGATATGTTTGAACAACGACAGAGCAAGTCTGAAACAGCCTATTCAGCTGGTATGAGTAATTAAGAATAAAGCTCTTAAAAAAAAAAGTCTCAGATATCTGGGAAAGTTACAGAACAGACCGCCGTGAATAGCTTTGCTTATATTTGTAGACACTGTTTTCCAAATAGCTGGAAAAATGAACAGATTGTTCTGGGAGGTCGTGTTTCCAATTTGTTCCTAGCTTCCAGTCTGTTCATCAGATAAGAAAGCACAAGGAGAGTCAGCTAATACTCTTCACCAACTACATCTATCTTCGATTGCGCACAACCACGGTGAGAGGAAAGAAAGCAAAGCTTTCCTGGAATCTCGCCTGAGGTCTTTTCTCTTGACTTCCTTTATTTCACCTTTGTGCTCACTGCAGCCACCACAGGACCCCTCGGTAGGGCATAATTTCCAAGTCCTGAATAAGGCAGGTTTCGCATCGTAATTTACACGTAGTGCTCAGCCCCGCCCCCCTTATTCAGCATCAACTTGCTGTCCCGATGGGGAGAACAAACACCAGAGACGGAAGCTAGGGGCTAGGAAGGAAGAAGGCCAGCAGCGTCTCGCGGCCACTCTGTCTGTCTGTCTGGGGATGGAGGGAGCCGCAAGACCAGGCCCGGGCCCGAAAGAAGCGGGGTTCAGCCTGAGACTCGAGCTCCGCACCTACAAAGCCAGAAGCAGCTGGCTGCCCTAGCCGGGCCAGGAGCGCCACCTCCGGGTCCCAACACCCGGCCAGCGCACCCCCAGAAACAGCCCGTCCCGCTTGCCCCTCCCTTGAGCTCGTGGTCCTCGGCCCGGCAGCCAGCCGCCCCCGGCCACCTACCGGGGCTCAAGGCCACAAAGCGGGGCCCCGGCTCTCGGCAGCCTCCGCCTCCAGGTCCATGGGGTCGAGGCCCCAACCTTCGCTCCCCTCACCCAGGGGAGGAGGAAAAGGAAGAAGGCAATGCGGGCTCCCCAACCGGACAGCTCACTCTGGCCTCAGCCTCCCTGGACAGCGACGGCGGCCGGAAACGCCGCCCCCTCCCACCCCCCCACCCCCTCCCGGACTCAACCCGGAAACACACTCTTGATGCTAAACAAGCCCTCCTGTCCCCCCGGAAGCTCAATTCCAGCCGATAGCACG